CCCAAATTGCTAAATATTTAAGTAAGATAGTTCCTGGAAAAAACAGCTTCTGCCTTCCTTCTTCAGACCTCTATTACATTTTACACCAGAGGCTGCACACCCAATCTGCAGATTGATTTCTTTTCTTTTCTTTTCCTTTTCTTTCTTTCTTTTTGAGACATAGTCTCACTTTGTCACCCTCAATAGAGTGCTGTGGCGTCACAGCCCATAGCAACCTCCAACTCTTGGGCTTAGGCGATTCTCCTGCCTCAGCCTCCCAAGTAGCTGGGACTACAGGCACCTTCCACAACACCCTGTTATTTTCTGTTGCAGTTTGGCCAGGGCCGGTTTCAAACCTGCCACCCTCTGTGTATGGGGCCTGTTCCCTACATGCTGAGCCACAGGCGCCATCTCAAATAGATTTCTTTTAATAAAACATAAAGCTCTTCCTTTTTCCTTCACAGCTCTCATGTTCTTTTGTTAACATACTTTATGCACTGAAAAGAAACTAATTTTATAAAAACTGAATCATTCAAATTTTCATCAATAATTATTTGTTAGTATAAGTGAAGGTTTATTAAATGACATTGTTTATTTTGTTAGGCAGTTAGCTAGATACTAGCAGGACAGATACATTTAGGTTATTTTAGACTAGTCTTGGTCAAGCTAACCTGCACTATTATGGGAATGGAGCTGATCAAGACCTTGCAAGTGGGTTGCTATGAGAACAGAGTTTATTATTGAAACCCTGGAAGACTTTCAAGAAGCAGCTGATACTCTTGGAATATTGTATAAAACACCCAAACTGCACTTTCCATGGGACCTGCAGTCACAAGGATGGAACCTGGCTTACTGTGTTGATTTTTAATAAACTTTCTTTTATTACTAAAACTTTACTTGCTCTTCTTAATTATTTTTCTGCAATCTACAACCACTGCATTGCTCTAACAGTTTTTCTAGACGTGCTTGCACATGTGAATGCTTTATAACTATAGCTCATAATTGTACCTTCACTGACATAGTTCATAGAAGAACAATATGGAAATATATCTACTTCAGGGTAATTCTGCATTGTTTGAAACAGTTTAGCTAAGGAAAAAATAAGAAAAACATATTACTTATATATTAATTCACTTTTTTATTTCCTTTGAAACTTGACATTTTTAATTTCCCAGAATACTCCAACAACTAGATTAGTTTCATAGATGTTTTCTGCATATCCCTGCCAAATTTGAAGTCCAAATATTTTCCGTCTCTACCACTGACCCCCTAGATTTTCTTAAGCAACTAATTTACTTCTCTGCACTCCTAACATCTTTCTAGGAAAAAGCCTAATCATATTTTCCATATATTGACATCACAGTTGTAGTAGGGGGATAATCATTGAAAAGCGCTTTGGGTGGGCAGGCACTGTGGCTCAAAGCTATAATCCTAGTATTCTGGGAGGTCAAAGTGTGAACATCCCTTGAGTTCAGGAGTTTGAAACCAGCCTCAGCATAAGTCCCCATCTCTACTTAACATGGAAACAATTAGCTGAGCATTATGGTGGGCTCCTGTAGTCCCAGCTACTTTAGGAGGCTTGAGGCTGGAAGATCACTTGAACCTAGGAGTCTGAGGTTGCTGTGAGCCAGGCTGATGCCATAGCACTCTAGCCTGGGCAACAGACTGAGACTCTGTCACACAAAAAAGAGTGTTTTTGAAAGCTAAATGAGAAATAATTGCCAATTATAATTTATGCTTTGTATTCAAACTACTGAGAAAGATATAAAAGTAGGATTTTCACCCATATTAAGCCACTCAGGGGAAACATATTTATTAATACAGGCCTGCCTCATTGTACTGTGAATCATTTTATTATGCTTCATAGATACTGCATTTGTTTATACATTAATGGTTTGTGGTTAACCCCGTGTCAAATGAGTCTGTTGGTGGCATTGCTTTTCCAACAACATATGTTCATCTCATGTCTTGTTTCACGTTTTGGTAGTCAACAGAATATTTCAATATTTTTATTGTTATAACTTAAATGATTATTTTTGACCTTTGATCTTTGATGTTATTATTGTATTTATTTTGAAGCATCATGAACCACACACATATAAGAAAGTGGTCTTAATTAATAAATGCCATGTATATTCTGACTGCTCCACCAACCAGCCATTCCCATGTCTCATTTACTCTCCTCAGAACTACCCATTCTCTGAGATATAGAATATTGAATTTACAACAGTTAATAACCCTAAAATTGCTCCTAAGTGTTCAAGTGAAAGTGAGAGTCACATGTCTTTCACTTTATATCGAAAGATAGAAATGATTAATTAAGCTTAGTAAAGAAGGTATGGGGAAAGCCAAGAAAGGGTAAGAACCATGTCTCTTGACCCAAATAACCTATTTGAGAATGCAAAAGAAAAGTTATTGAAATAAATTAAATGTACTATTCCAGTGAAGAGATGAATAATAAGAAAGCAAAACAATCTATTGCTGACATGGAGAAAGCTTTAGTAATCTGAATGAAATATCAAACCAGTCACAAAATTCTCTAAAGCAAAACCCTAATTTATAGCAAGACCCTACCTCTCTTTATTTCTGAAAAGGTGAAGAGACATGAAGAAACTATAGAAGAAAAGTTTTAAATTATCAGAGGTTCGTTAATGAGGTATAAAGAAACAAACACGCTTTATAATACAAAAATACAAAATGATGCAGGATCAGATAATTTTTTCTTCTTGTTGTATTTCTTCTCTAAGAGTTTCTTATGGGAACACTTGTCATTGAATTTTGGGGTCCACCAGGTAATCCAGGATGTTCTTATCTCACAACCCTTATCTTAATTACTTCTGCAATGGCCCTTTCTTTTTGGAAGTAAGGTAACATTCACAGATTTTAGGGATTGAATTAAATGTATTTGACATGAATATTTGTCTTTGAGGGCTTTTTTTTTGTGTGTGCGCTCACTACGACTGCAAATATATAGCTACCAATATCCTCAATTCACCTATAGTAAGCAGTTTTCTTTATTTGGTTGACAAATGATGCACTAGGAAACATATTTTGATTGCAACACAATTTGTGTTTTTTAGAAGAAATTTTGTTGTGATAAGACATAATGTTTCTATTTTTAAAAAATGTTTCTGATCATTATTTTCCTGTGAGTTGGGAATATTATGATGAGTGCTTAGCCTGGTAAATACAGATGTATTTATGTATACTGTATTTATTTAGCCCAGCTTACAGTCAGTGCCTAATAAATACACAGTGCTTTGACATCTAAGTATGTAAAATAATCCATACTCTTGTTCATTAAAGGTACAACATTATAAGTCCACTTGTCTTGTTTTGGTATAGTAGGTATGCACAGGTATTTTAAAAAAGAATACTGTAGAAGGGTGATATGTGTGGCACCTTAATTTGTCGTATACCAAGTGGCAGTTTTAAATGATAAGATCACCACTAAGTTTTCTATTGCAACTACTCAAAAGCAGTCATAGACAGTACAGCACTATCTAATATCAGCTATTTTCCAATAAAACTTTACTTATGGATGCTTATATTAGAATTTCATATAGTTTTTGTGTGTCTCAAAGTATTTTTATTTTGATTTTTTTCAACCATTGACAAATATGAAAGCCATTCTACAACAAAATTATGTTATAAGGCCGGATAAGCCCTGAGAGTTCTAATTTGTTATCTCTTAGTCCATTTACTGTTACTTATAACACAATACCTGACTCTGGATAATTTATTAGAAATGAAGTATATTTCCTACAGTAAGCTATGAAGTCCAAGGTCAAAGCAGTATATCTGGTGAGGGCCTTATTGCTCGTGGGTACTTGGCTGAGTCCTGAGGTAGCACAGAACATCATATGCTTGAACTGCTGCCTCAATGTCAATCTGTTGTATAGTTCAGTTGGATTACAGGGGTTAAGGGGTACAGCTCCATCCTTACAATAGGTTTTACCCTGCCAACAATGGGGCTGAATGTGCTAGCTCAGATCTCTCTTTCTCTTTTTCTTTTCTCTTTCAAAAATTATTTTTTCATTCTTCTTTTTTTTTTTTTACAGATTAATATGAGGGTACAAATCATTAAGTTATATGATTTACACATGACAGGTAAAATTCAGAGTTTTAGGTGTGTCCTCCACCCAGGGGTGTGCCATATATCCATACATTGTACCCATTGGGTGGGAAGTTACTGAGCTCTCCCCTTCTTGAATTTAATTCAGATTTTCTGTCGTAAGGGTATATGATTATTAATCTCTTAGTATTAATTTGATATTGAGTAAACATGATGCTTGTTTCTCCAATCTTTTGATACTTTACTTTAGGAGGATATTCCCCAAATCCATCCAGGTGGTTACAAAGGATAAAAAATGTCCATCTTTTTCTTAGGGATGAATAGTATTCCATGGTAAACATGTACCACACTTTATTAATCCATTTGTGTGTTGATGGGTACTTGGGTTGTTTCCACATTTTATAATTGTGAGCTGAGTGGCTATGAACAATCTAGTGCAAATTTCCCTGTGATAAAATATCTTAATGTCTTTTTTCCCATTAGGTAAATACCTACCCGGGTCACATAGTGGGTTTTTTTTTTTTGTTGTTGTTGTTCTTTCAGGGATTTCCACACTTCTTTCTATAGAAGCTGTACTAGTCTACATCCCTTCTTTCTGCAGTCATACCAGCAACTGCTGCATTTTGAAACTTTGTGGTGAGGACTATTCTCACTGGGATTAGGTGATAACTCAAAGTGGTTCTTATTTGCATTTCTCTGATAATTAGGTATTATGAGCATTTTTCATATGTTTATTGGCCATTCTCTTGTCTTCATGAGAAATGTTTCTGTTCATATCTATTGCCCAATTTTAAATGGGCTTATTTGCTCTTTTCTTGTTGATATACTTGAGGGCATTCTCAAGTGATATTCTAGTGATTAGCCCTATGTCAAATTTATAGCATACAAATATCTTTTCCCATTCTGAAGTTGTCTTTTTTATTTTAGCTGTGAAAAAGTTTAACTTAGCTCTGTGCAGTGACAGTATCATACCCAATGAGGTTTATCCCAGGAGCAATTATTGCTAATTGCTCCTTTTCCCAATACCCCACCACGATGACTTGAAATATAGTCGGCATTGACAATTTTTGATAGTCTGTACAGAGACCGGCACCAGTAGCACAGTAATTACAGCACCAGCCACATACACCAAGGCTGGGAGGCTCAAATCCAGCCCCAGCCGGCTAAAATAACAATGACAACTGCAACAAAAAAATACCCAGTGTTGTGGCAGGGGTCTGTAGTCCCAGGTACTTGGGAGGCTGAGGCAAGATAATTGCTTAAGTCCAAGAGTTGGAGGTTGATGTGAGCTTTGAAATCATGATATTCTACTGAGGGCAACATAGTGAGACTCAGTATCAAAAAAAAAAAAAAAACTTTTTATTTTTGTTCGGTTCTTTTTTTTTTTTTTTGTTGTTGCTGCTGTTGCTATTGGGGTCTTGTTCATAAGTTCCTTCCCTAAGCTGGTAAGATCAAAACTTTTCCCCACACTTTATTCTAGAGTTTTTATGTTTTGTGTCTTATATTTAGATCTTTTATTCATCACTAGTTAATTTTTGTAAGTGGTGAGACATCAGAGTCCAATTTAATTCTCTTACATGTGCTAACCAGTTCTCCTAGAACCATTTATTAAATAGGGATTCTTTTTCCCAGTGAATGCTTTGGTTTGATTTGTTAAAAATTAGATAAAAATATGAGATGGGTTTCACTTCTGAATTCTCTATTCTAACAACAATTTTATTTTTTATATCATGGTAGAATATATGGAATTTACCATTTTAATTATTTTTAGGTGTACAGTCAGTGGTTTGACCTTCATATTACTGTGCAACCATCCATACCAATTCTTATTTTTTTAATCTTTCCGCATTGAAACTCTATGCTCATTATGCAATAGCTCCTTATACCTTTCTCCACTCATCTGTGGGCTATAACTGTTCTGCTTTCTGACTATGATTTTGATGATTCTAGGTACCTTGTATAAGAGGAATAGTACAATATTCCTCCTTTTGGTCTGGTTTATTTAACTTAGAGTAATGTCAATAATATTCATCCACATTATACCATGTGCCAGAATTTAATTCCTTTTTAAGAGTAAATAATATCTCAGTATATGTATATAATATTTGTTTACTTATTAATCTATTTATGGAATATTGCATTTTCCCCACTTTTTGGCTATTATAAACAGTGCTTCTATGAACATTCATGTACAGATATCTGTTTGATCCCCCATTATAAATTATTTAGAGTATATACTCAGGAGGCAAAATAGCTGAGTCATATAGTAAGTTTTTGTTTAAATTTTTGAGGAACCACCAAAATGTTTTCCACAGGGGCTGTACCATTATATGTTACCACAAGTAAAGCATGAGTGTTCTAATTTTTTCACATATCCTCTAAAACCATTGTCATTTTTATTCACTTTAAAATAATAGTCATCCTAAGGAGTGTGAATGGTATGTCATTGTAACTTTTCTCAGTTTGGCAGCTTATTCTTGGTTGTTAGTGTACACTTAGCTGAAGAGTGACTCGACACACTAAAAGTAAAGCAAGCATGAAATGATGTTTTTATGAAAAAGCAAAAGAAGTTTATAGAGTAAGAGCAAGGTACATTCACCACATATGGAAAATGGAAGCCATGTTGTAATAAGAGGCTCAGGTTATCGTCTGGGGTCTTGTTTTATAGTGTTTGGCTTTGGTCATCATCATGATTGAGACATCACCACTGAACTACTTTAATAAGATGACAATTAGCCTTTGGTTACTATAGGTCACTTTATAGACCCTGCTGTGCCTGGGATGCCTGGACGGTGTGCTGGGAAACTCCTAGAATTCCTTTTAAATCAGCAGTAAATTCCACCTTCTCCCAGGTATGGCAGTTGCTCAGGACAGGGTAAAGGCAGGGTGTTCTCCGTTGTCCTTAGGAAAGCTAGAATCCCTCATTAACTACCTAACATTTTGACTTGTGTTCCCCTAATTATTAATGATGTTGAACATATTTTCATGTGCTTATTGGACATTCTTCTATCTTCTTGGGAGAAAAATCTATTTCAGTTCTTTATCCATTATTAAATTGGATTTTTGTGGTTGAGGACTTGTAGGAGTTATTTACATGATCTGGATATTAATTCCATATGAGATATATGGCTAGAAAATATTTTCTTCCATTTTGTATATAGCCGTTTAACTTTCTTAATAGTATCTTTTGATACAGAATAGTAATTGTGATTAAGTCTAATTAATTGCTTTGTGTTTTCTGTACTTTAGAGAAGCCACATCTAATAAATCACTGCCAAATCCAGTGTCATAAAGCTTTCCCCCTATGTTTTCTTCAAAGACTTTTATAGTTTTAGTTGTTACAATTATTTATGTGAGGTATTTGATTAATTTGTTAATCAAATAAATTTATTTAATTAATTAATTTAATTTATTTAATTTATTTGATTTAATTTACATATATATTATATATAACAATGTAACTTCATTTTCTTCTATGAGAATATCCAGTTTTTCCAGTACCGTTTATGGTAAGGACTGTATTATTCTTATAGAACAGTCTTGGCATACCTGTCAAAAATTATTTGACCACATATGTGAGACTTTATTTATGCACTCTCTATTCCACTCTACTCACTGTTTTGTTTTGTTTGTTTTATATATGTTTTTCTATGTACTACATTGTTTTTTGCAAGGGAGTGTATGACTTCTATTTAGTCACTCTTTTATAAGATAATTTTAAGTCTCTTGATATTTTGCATACATTTTAAAAGGGATTTTTCTATTTCTGCAAAAGCCATTGCTGAGATTATAACAGGGATTGGACTAAATTTATAGATTCCTTTGACCAGTATTAATGACTTGACAATATTAAGTTTTCTCATTCATGAACACATAATATCTTCCCATTTATGTATGTCTTCTTTAATTTATTGGATATAAGATGTTAGACAATTAAGTTCATGAATTTAACCTAGAAAAAGTTGCTGTACACCACATTGTTAATTCAGGTAAAAGATGGCATATCTGGGACTCATTCCCAGGCACTGTTACCTCAAAAAAGGCATTATGAATATATTCAGGTTAAATAATTTTATATATAGCTAGAATCCTAATAAAACTTAATATCCATTCTAATCATTAGTACATAGATCTTCCTCCAAAATAGATCATATCTTAGGACAAAATTCTAACCTCAATAATGTAATGATTCAGAAATCAATGAAACAAAAATTTGGTTCCTTGAAAAGATTAATAAAATTGATAAATCTCTGGTTAGACTAATTAGAAACAGAAAAGTAAAATCTGTAATAACTTCAATCAGAAACAATAAAGGGGAAATAACAATAGATATCATAGATATTAAAAAAATCTTCAGTGATTATTACAAAACTCTGTTCTCAGAAACATGAAAATCTGAAGGAAATGGACTAATACCTGAAAGCACAAAACACTCCTAGACTCAACCAGGAAGAATTAAAAAATTTGAAAAGACCTATATCAATCACTGAAAATAGCATCAATTATATGAAATCTCCCAGAAGAGAAAAATCTGGGATGAAATGGCTTCACATCAGAATTCTACCAGACCTTCAAAGAGGAACTAGTACCTATATTACATAACCTTTTCTAAAACACAGAAAAAGAAGGAATTTTCCCCCCAACACTTTCCATGAAGCAAATATCACCTTGATCCTCAAACCTGGAAAGAACCCAACAAAGAAAGGCAACTAAAGACCAAAAATATAGAACAAAAATATTCAATAAGATCTTAGCAAACATAATTCAATGACGGAACATCAAAAATGTTATACACCACTATTAAGTCAGTTTTATTCCAGGATTACAAGGTTGGTTCAACATATGTAAATCTATAAATATATTACATCACATACATAAAATCATAAAAAAGACCAGAATATTCTTTCAATTCATGCAGAAAAGGTTTTAGATAATATTCCACATCCTGTCATCCTTTTAAGAAATAGGCTTAATTCTTCATTCCTGTGATGCTTAACTAAGAATAATATTGTTTAGGATATTGCATCCTTATTTATAAGTGAAATATGTTTGTAATTTTCCCTTTATAATAATATATTTTCTCCAATTTTAATATCAGGTGTATCCAGATTAAGTAGCATGATATTGAAGTATTTCTTCTTTTTCTGTTATCTATAAGATTTGCCATGATATGTTTTTTGAAATTATCTTTTACTTTTATTTAAAAATATTAGGTGCCTATTTTTTGAGACTTTGGAAAAAATAAGAAGTTAACTGATGACTCCATACTGAACCTTAGAGTCAAAGCATTCTATAGTAGACATACTCTCATTTGACAATGTGAATGTTACTTTCTTTGCATTATTATTATTATTATTGCTTAATATTTCAATGCAGCAATTGTCTGATTTCTGTTCTGAATGTATTTATCTTCCTTTGTTCTTTATGAGGTTTTTGTTTCTGGTCCTTATCTTAAACATTGTTATTGTTATTAAATTTTAAGCCTTTTTAATTTTGTGAAGGCAAAAATTGGAAAGCTAATAAACACATGTATGTGAAAAAATAAAAAGAAAAGAAAATAGGCTTAGATGGGACATTACTTAAACTGATAGAGGCCATCTACAGTAAACCCACAGCCATTCTCATATTGACTGGAGTAAAATTGAAAGCATTTTCACTCAGATCTGGAACTATACAAGGATGTCAGTTGTCACGACTGATATTCAACATAGTGCTGGAAGTCCTACCCATCACAGCAGGCCACAGAAGGAGATCAAGGGTATTCAAATGGGGAGAGAGAATGTCAAACTCTTGCTTTTCATGGATTACATAATCTTATACTGGAAAACTCCAGGGACTCAACTATAAAGTTCTTTAAATTGGTCAAGTAATATAGCAGTGTCTTGGGATACAAAATCAATACTTACAAATTACAAGCTTTTATATATACCAACAATAGTCAAGCTGAGAATATAATCAAAAACTCTATTGCTTTTACAGTAGACAAAGACTATGATGTAAGATGGAATAAACACAAACCTAGCCAGGAATTTGAAAGAATATGTGATACTGGAAAACTAGATATTAATAAAGAATTTTGGAAAG